GCACAGTCAGTCTAGTTAGTGTTTAAGCACTCATACCTCCTCTTATTATCTGTATGATAAATTAATCTCTTACTTTTATCCTACGTACATCTGCACTTTTGTTGCTTATGATGAGGGAATTCGCGAGTTTCAGTCTAAACAAAATTCAGCGATGATTAATCTGAACGCCTCGGATTGGCTACTGCATTCCTAAACTCAACAGAATCGTGTGTGATTGGTTTTATAATGAGCAACGCTTGAAAGACGAGAGAGGACCAGGCCTGGACTTTATTTTGTGTTTTGCTTTATTTTCATTTTGTGTTTGTTTATTTTATTAAAATCTTAAATTTTCGCCGGTTCCCGCCTCCTTCTTCCCAATCTACAAACGTTGTTACAGCTAGATTTACTTAAAAAATATAGTGCATCATTTTTTGCATCCCTCTTAAGTAAATTTCGCATGGAATTTTAAGCAGCGTTACCTAAAAATCTTTAGTTGGCGATGCTTAAATGTTTGAGTATCCCAGTGAACGGTTTTGCTCAAATTTTTTAGCTGGTGTAACACAATATTTTAAGTAGTTTATACTAATAAATGTAAGTTATTTCTACAATAAAAGTCTTGTTCACCCCATTATAAATTAAGCTCATTTAGATTGATCATTTTAAGTTTTTGTATTTTAAAATACCTTAAAGTGTTTGCAAACCAAATGTTATTGCACTTTTGTTCATATAGCAGTACTTTTAAATGAAAAATGTGCACAATACACTACTTTTGAATGCATTATTAGTTTTGTGCATAACAATAAGTTTAATCGCAGACAATCATGTGATTAATCGCGAAAAAAATAAATAAATAAAATGTAATCGTTGCCCAGCACTAGTATCAAACAATCACTAAGCAAAAAATAATTAAATATCTAGCCTAGGGGTGTGCTATATAGACAAAATACGATATCTCAATATTTTCTGGGATTTTATCAATAACTATAATCAGATGATCTTTTCCTGAGTGTGTCGCGCTGCAGGACGGCCGTGGACAGCTGACTCCTAAAGTTTTTGATAGTCTATTCTTCATATTCTGTGTGGTCAGTCAAATTCTTATATTTAATCAATAAAGTCCATTAGAATAAAAGACATTTGGGGCTGTTATCAAACAAATAAAATCATTATCAACTAAATTAATCTTTGCAATGCAGAAACACAGAAGCTGCATCTGAAGAGGCGTTTAGATATATTTATTTACACACTGTTTAATGCAGGACATGAATGCATTTAACCTGCAGTTACAAATGCATAAATAATGTTTTGATATTTTAATCCTAAAACGCTGAATACTGATATTTGAAATTATTTAAAAAAAATGCTGTGTTAAGGTAAGGCATGTTATTCGCAATTATGTGTTGTGGCTGGGTTGTTATAGGTCTGCGTGACTCTCGATGTCTTAGGCCTAATTGAACGGAGGAATTATGGTACTCTTCTGTAGCCTTGACGACGAGTAACGAGTAACAACAACTAACATTGTTCATGTGAACTCAAAAGACAGCCTGATGCTTTGTTTATAGACTATTTGTGGGTGGCTGTTTGTTGTTTCACCTATCAATTCGTGTCGATAAAGTATAATAGGGTAAATCCTG